CTCTCTCTCCTCTCTCTCTCTCTCTCTCTCTCTCTCTCTCTCTCTCTCTCTCTCTCTCTCTCTCTGAGACAGGGTTTCTCTGTGTAGCCCTGACTGTCCTGGAACTCACTCTGTAGACCAGGCTGGCCTCGAACTCAGAAATCTGCCTGCCTCTGCCTCCCAAGTGCTGGGATTAAAGGCGTTCGCCACCACTGTCCAACTTCTTCTTTCTTTTCTCCTCCTCTTCTTCCCTCCTTCTTCTCCTTCCTCCTCTCTCCCCCCTCCTCCTTCCCCCTCCTCCTCTTTTGATTTTTGGGTTTTCAAGCCACCGTTTCTCTGTAGACCAGGTTAGCCTCAAATTCAGAGATCACCCTACCTCTGCCCCCTTAGTGCTGTGGTTAAAGGTGTGTGCCACCATGTCCAGCCTAAAGCATACTCATTACAAGTCAGGCATTTCAGTTGTTCTTGGCAAAACTGTTTCTAGATTTAGCACACAGCACCTTTTAACTTGGCCCAGTTATAGAACTGTGTTTAAATCCTGATGCACAGCACTGTGCTGCAGCTTTGTTTCCATGGCAACCCTAAGCTCTTTATGACTCCCCTTAGAGAAAGATTTCTAAGTGGTGTTTTTGAATCATCTGGTGTTGTGGCTTGAGTATGAAATGTCCCCAGAGGTTTGAACACTTGGTCCTCAGCCGGTGGCACTGTTTGAGAAGGTTATGGAACCTTCAGGAGGTGCAGTGGAGGAGTGGTGGTGGGTCACTGGGGGTGGACTTTGAAGGTTTATAGCTGGCCCTGCTTCCTGGTCTTTTTCTGTTTCCTCTGTGTGGATGAGATCTGTTCTTCTGGGCTGGTGGGTTGACCTCACACTCCTGACATACCTTTCCTGCCCAGATGGACTATGAGCCAAAATGAACTGTCTTCCATCACTTGCTTTTTGTCAGGATTTTAGTCACAACAACGTGAAAGTAACTAATTTATTTGGGTAATTCCAGACAATAAACCTGAAATGTGGAATTTTAACATTTGTCTGTTGTACTGAAATAAAATTAAACTGAAAACAAAAGCATGTTTGCTGTACTAAGATAACAGAGTTTAGGGGAAAATGTAAACAAGAAAAAAAGAGTGACTCATAACCCTGTCTCAGAAGCCAGCAGTCAGTGCTCAGTGCACTTATCAGGAGCCTCAGGGATGTGCTTCCCACTGTGTACCCCATCTTCTGAGAGCTTCTGCCCCTGGCCCCACATGCAGGACCTGGTGAGTGCCAGGCAGAGGGCAGGGTGAAGGCAGAAATGCCTGGTGCTTCGGTGTCCATGCAAGTGGTCCTTAAATACTGTTGAGGGTCCATGTCCACAGGTGTCCCAGTTGACTGCTGACTGGAGGACCTTGTGCTCGGTGCCTGAAGGCTTGAGGCATTTCAGGCTGCAATGAGGCACCATAGATGTGCTGGGTTCCCCAGGGGCCTGACCCCTCTTTCCTACCCCTCTACCTCATGGCTGGTGGGATGGACTGTCTCAGAATGAGTCCCAGGACCAGATGGCTAGGTAATTTCTCAAATCCTTACGCTTCCAAACATAGCCTGGATGCCAAGAGGACCCTGAATCCTCTGTCTCTCGATGGCTCGGGGTTCAGTGCTTTGTCCCAAGTACCAAATTGTTGAAACTATTTTGGAAAGTTGTGGAAACCAGTAGGCAGGACTTGGCTTTTGGAAGCTGATCACATCTGTGGGTCCCTGGTCACTTCTTTTCACTCTTCCTGGGTTGGCTTTGAGGTAGACAACCATGAAGTCTGTCACATGTTCCTGCTCAAGCACACAGGATCAACCATGGACTGAACTCTCTAGAATACCTTCTTTTTGAATACTTTTTCTATTGAGTATTTTGTCAGGGATACAGAGGTTAACTACAGACAGACAGGGAGAGATGCGAGTGGCACTCAGGAATCTTGAATATATGGTTTATTGACACCAGTATAGGGGCCCAGTATAGGAAGACTGTCCTATGAGCTCATCATCTTGGGACTTGTCTCTGAGACTAAAGAAACATGGTATCTTAGAACAAGACTCCCAGGAAGCCCCCTGAAATAACCCTTGGCAAGGCCCACATGGCATGTAAATGGGAAAGCTTGGTGTGTTTGGCAAAGCTGAAGAGTCCAGTGAAAGCACAGGACTCCAGAGGATGGTCCCTGGAAGCTACAGAGGCGGAATCAAACCCAAAGCCCAGCTTGCTTCATACAAATTGGCCTGGCTTCCATACAGTATGGCCAGAGCCATCCTTCTGGCCCTGAGAATACAGTTGAGATAGCCAGGACACTCATGCTGAAACTTAGCATTGGGAGAGGGGGGCACTGCATGCAGAACCCAAGAGGGCAAGGGGAGACATCATGGTGAATGGCAGGGCTTTTAAGACCTCTAGGTGCTGGTGCCTCTCCCACCATGAGTTCTGAGACTCCCAAAGCTATGCTGCAGATACCTTGCTTCAACACTCCCATAAGCCTGCTTGTGCTCTCCCACCTCTTCCGCCTCCAGGCCTTAGCTGAGAGGCAGCTCCACCTGCAAAGGCAGGCTGACTGCTTCAGCTTTTGTATCCATGACAGACACTGAAGCCTGTAACTCAGCTCTTTTCTAGCCCACTTAATTTTAAGAATAGATACTAATAATACTTAACCCCTCTCTGCTGCTGGCGGAGGATGGGCTCCCTGCTCTGGCAGCTCCTGATAATGCTATGCATACCCTCCATACCTTACCCTAAAGCGTACCAGAGGCCTGAGAGATACAGTGACTGGTTCTGCTCACACAATGTGTTGGTGGCAAAGCAGGGACTTGAGAAGCGGAATCACTGGCTAGGGGATTCTTTTGGGATGAAGGCTTGAAGAGGAGGTGGCCAAGAAGTCTTGTAGGCTTGGTACTGGCAGCTCCAGTCAAGACAGAAGAGTCCTTTTCTGTGCCTAGGAACTAGCACAAGGTCAACCGTCAACAGTAGGAGAATGTGGTCTCCCTTGGTCACTAGATCAGGATGGAGCAGTGCCTGATGTTGGTCTCTGACCACTGGCAGGCAGGGGCATGGCTATCACCAGTGCAAATGGACTGAGAGGTGGGAGAGGCACTCAGACAAGCCTGGGAAAGGGGCTTCCCTTCACACTGAGGCCTTGATATGTGGCACAGCTTTACATGTGAGTATGAATCCAGATCACCAAGGAGGCCCAAATTTCACTCTTACCAGCAATGAACAGGTTAGCAAAAATGGGAGAAAACTAAAGTTCTCCCTCTATCAAGGTCACTGCTACAGGCAGGCTGGACCAACAACCACACCCTGTGTTGAGATGGTACTGAGGATCCTAGATTCTGACCCCCAGAAAGCAGCAGGCCTTCAAGTTAAGCAATACCTAGTTATTATGGTGGGCAACCATCTGAGAGACCATGTTCCTGTCAGGAGATTTGACCAAGGAATCAACTACCTGGCCCCAACTCTTCCATCCCTGCTGTGGGAATGGGTGAATGCCAAGCATACAGGTGGTATGCCCAACTGCATTTGGCTGGCTTGCTCCCCTACTGCTGGACAGTGGATTCGCCTCAGGGGAAGAAGTATGAGCACCCTTGCTTCTTTTGAAAGAGGGCTTAGGTGCGCTGAGCAAAGCTCTGCAAGTCTTGCTAGGGCTTTCACTCTATAGGTGGACTATGTCTCCTCCATGGGGATATCACAGGCAACCTTCCTACTGTTCCTTCCTGAGCCTCTGCTAAGCTGCCTATTATCCTCTGGACCTGCCAGTGTCTGCATGCAGCAGCCTGACTCACACTTGTCCCTTGTTGAGGGCCTCCTTAGTCCTTCAACTCTGGGTGTCCCCCCAACCCCTGGCCTAGTTTTCGAGCCTGATTTTAGACATCATTGCTCTAGGGATGTGGTGGTCTTTCATGTTGCTCAGGTCAGGACAGAGTTTAGCAGGGAAGGATACCAGTCACAGATGAAAGATGGTGGACTTCTGGGCTTGCCAAAGTTCCTCACCTAAGCACTGTCCTCAATGACTTCACCAACGTAACTGCAAACGCACTAAGACAGTGTCAAGCTTCTAACCAAGAGCAGTAAGGTCTTCTCAGCTGGGATCCAGCCAGACTCTAAGGGTGGACAGGGAGGCCAGTGTCACCCCAGATGCCCATAGTCACAGCCTCTGCCCATCACTTCAAGGAAGTTCTGAGGTACCCAGAAGCACAAAAGGACCTTCCCAGAAAGAGTGCTGGCTTTCCACAACAAATGCTGCCTTTTTGAGACCCTCAACATGTCTGCCTATCAGGACCCACGGCACGTTCAGCAATCCTCATCAACACCAAAGCTGCTTAAGGCACTTACGTGGCTTATTAACATAACCTGGAAAAATTTGTTTCCATCCTGATTTAGGAAAAAAAAAAGTCAGTAATACTGCAAATGTCTCCACAAACACACAAAAAAGTAAAATACTTAAGTTTTCAGGAATAAAATAAATGCTAAGTTTTGCTTAAGTTACATGACCTTGTGGTCACCTTGGCACTGATACAACGTGACAAAGCCTGAATACTGATTCTGGATTAGACTTTTCCCTGCAATAAATCTAAGCACACAAATACACACACACACACACACACGTCTGACTTCATCTCCCCAGGAAGTTCAGGGGGAAAGACAGAGGTCTAGAAAGCCCTAGTGGCCTTAGTACTCAGTTAAGAGTGGACTGGCAGTGGGCCACTCTCCTGGTGCTCCTCCCATGAAGACCAATGTCTCCTCTTTGGGAAGCCAGCAGTCAAGCAGGACAGCAAGCGTTAGCACAGACCAAACCCTCCCAGCTTTGGGTACAGTGAGAAGCTACAAGCCTGGGCTGGACACCTGGCTGCAGATCTCACCCCAGGATCTGTGTGAGGGTCTCCCAAGACCTGACCTGTGTTTTTGGTTAGGCTATCAGCAGGTGCCTACGGTTTATGTCCCCAGACCTGTCCTGCCCTGATGACCGCAGCTATCTACTCTTTTGTGAGGTCATTTTCCTATGCTTTCTTTTTGCCTACTGCAGTTCTGCAGCTATGAGGACAGGCTGTGGCAGGCAACGTGAAGGGCTGGGGTGCTAAGGGAATGCTGTGAAGGTGTGCACCCCTGCCCACTATACCTGTTGGGTCTTTGATCTAAGGTCTTTGATGGGGGGCGGATCACAAGGGCAGAGGGAGAGTCTGGATGGGGCCTGGAGGTCTGGACCACTTAGCTTCTCTGTGAAGCATTGATCTCAAGTTCTGAGAGACCAGTGGACAAGTCCTGGCTTCCTACATCTGCCTGGGCATCCCCTGTCCCCTGGACTCCACCCTCCAGCAGCTCCAGGGGGTCCCTAAGGAAGACCACCATGACTGTAATGTTGTCATGGGAGCCTCGGTCACGAGCTACAGCCACCAGCTCTTCAGCAACGTGCATCCCACTGCCCTTCTGCCTGAGCAAGTGGCCATGGACGAGACCCGTGACTTCATGGTGGGGGACAACATCGAAGAAGCCATCACAGGCAAGCAACAGGTAGTCTTCCGAGCCCGTTAGCTCTCTGGATGCTGCATCTGCCTCGCCAGACACATAGGGCTTCTGGAAGACATCCCCTAGGAATGAACAGACAGAAGAGCCTTGTTTCCTACTTCCCATGTGCTCAGAACCAACCCATATCACCATTTCCAAGGGCATGCAGGTACAGGAGCCCAGCTGGCTCTCAAGGGGGTCACCTGCTTAATGTTTCCCACCCTCTTTGTAGGGGAGTCATCCCCAGCTCCACAGAGCAGCTCTCACTCTGGGAGAGGCTGTGCCTCCAGTATGTCTAGAGATAACAAACAGCTAGAACAGCACGAAGACAGGCTAAGAGGAAGCAGCCAACAAAGACTTCAGGAGGAGGAGAGGGCAGATGCCAAGCTCCCAGGGAGTAGATGGAGATAGAGTTGTTGGAAGGGGCAGGTGTGCTCTCTGAGTTGGGTTTCAGCAGTGACCGGAGACAGAGGAGAATGGGAAGCTATTCTCCAAGAGGAAAAAGGATCTTAAACTTTTTTTGGAGAAAAAAAAAAAAAAGAATCAGCATGGATGAGCTTACAGAAGACAACATCTATAGAATATTTAACCCGGACTAGAGGTTTCCTACTGTATTTTAGTAGGCCCTATAGAGGGCCCCTAATTTTCTATTTTCAGTTGATCATATTATTTGTGTAAAGATCTGTAGCCCAGGCTGGCTTCTAATAGCCTATGTAGTCCAGGATACCCTTGAAGTTCTGATCTTCCTCTATCTACCTCCTGAATGCTAGGATGGATTACAGGTGTGTGCCATCATGCCTGGTTCAAGCAGCAGCGGCACAAGTAGGGACTGAGCTCAGGACTCTGTGCACACTAGGCAAGTACTTTACCTAGTAAGCTACACTCTTCCTACTTAGTAGCTTCTTGACTTTACAATGTTTGACAATTTACAGTCAATAGAAACTGCACTGTGAACCTGAGCCTCTCCTGGTTAGAGTGACCTGGTCCAACCACCTCCATGCTGAATAAGCAGCAGAGAACTGCAGCTTACAATCAGCTGGGAGTCAACTGCTGACATTTCCCTAGACTGTGCTGAGCTGGTATCCACTAGGTTGGGTGAATCACATTCTGAACACAATATTTTTAGCTTATCTTGGGTTTATTTGGAGGCAGCTCCACTGTAAGTCTAGGAGGTCTAAACGCTGTGAATACTTTAGGGAGCATTATTATGTCCTAAGTCACTGAGTAAGCCCATGGCTCCCCACGGTGAAGCAGCCCTGGTGTACTCTCTTACCAATGGCTCTAGACACTGCCAGGGTTCCGTTGACTCTCCAGCAGTCCATAAGAGAAACAAAGCCACCCAGTGCTTCAATACGTGCTTTCTCATCCTGCAAGAGATAGTTATGAGGTGGGGATTTGGGTGAGTTGGGGGGTGGGGGCAGGGGCTTGAATGTCATTACATAAGTAGAACTTAAGTCCTAAAACACATTTGAAGCCAAAGTACCTGAACCAAGTCAAGAAGCTTACCTAGATATCCAAATCCGACATCATTAAAGACAGGGTGGTTAATCAAGGAATGGGGGCAGCGTAGAAGGGTCACTTATACAAGCCATGACACATCTCTAAGCAGTGCTTGGGCCAAGAAGGTACTCCTGGGGCAGGATAGCGGTGTTAGCTCAGACTCAGGGGGGCAGATCCCTCACCTTTCACCTGAGGCTGTTATCTCTACTGTGAAAACTGCTGGGACGAAGCATGTGCTATGCACATAAGGCCATTTGGCAGGGCTCTTACACTCGAGTTAGGCCATGAGAGGCAGTAGCATGTCCACCGCTTAGTCCTCCTTCTTCTCCCTACTTACTCCTGGGCATTGTCTTTGCCAGTAGATCCAACCCTAACTTCAAGGGGGATGGGCAGAGGCTTGGTCTAGCTACAGGGAACTTGAAACTCTCTTTGGTTCTGTCAATTCCTTCCAGATGTAAAGTTTAACTCCTGAAGGCTAATGTTAACAGCTGAGTGCATGTGTCGAGCCCCTCTGGGGCATCTTGAATATCTCCTAGATGAGGGAGGTCACTCACATCCCTCTTATTGTGTAAACCTAACCTCACATCTTCCTTGGAATAGAACCTCCCCAAGGCTTCTAAGCTGCAGAACCTTCCTTTCTGAAGTTCCAGGTCAAGCTATCTGACTGTGTGAACAGAGCTGATATAGGCACTGAGGCCAGTGATCCCTACACTGACAGGCCTCTGTTTCAACAGGCCTACCCAGTCTGCACGCACTATAGCACCAGGGTTTAAAGTAATGTGCCAAGCTGGTTGGCCTTGCTGAGTTCGGCTCTACAACCTTGGTCCTTCTTCCCTTTCCTGGATCCCTCCTCTGTCTGCACTGATCACAGCCTTGCCCTGTGCCCATGGTTGTTCCAGGTGCAAACCAGCACCCTTGCCTGCTTCTTCTGATACACTTCCCCTTTCCTCCTGCTTTATCCTCCACACCTGAAATAGCATTTCCGCAGCCAAAGCTTGATGGCTCAGCAGTTCTAGTAACGGCCACACTACCCTTGCCCTGGCGTCAGGGCTGCAGTGTGCAAGGTCTGAGCGCCACTCAGAGCACCTCCCTGTGGACTCCCAAGGCCCTCTCCATACGGCCCAAAGCCTGGGCTCCTCCCTCCTGAGGCCACCAATCTACAACTGCAGATGCCATTTACAGCCTCACAGCGCATCCTTTTTGAGAGCAGACCTCAGCAGTCCTCTAGTGGCCTGGGCATGGTGAGAGTTGGCACTGAGCCCTTGTAGAGTTTTCCACTTTCTCAGGTCTGTGCACAACCTGTTCTCTCTCTCATCTCTGACATGCTCAAGTCACATCTGTCTCCAGGGTTCAGCCTTATTTCCACATGCTTTTCCCACAGTACTTGACTGGAGTCTTGTACCCTCACTACTGTGCTCTGCTTCTCCACCAGAGTTGCTGGGCAGAAGGTACTAGTTCCAGTTTTATCACCTTGCTGCCTCAGGAAACCATCCTACAGAGTAGACACTAAATGTCAGCTGGCCTAAACTGAGCCCATGGGTGTGATGTCTGTTTAGACAGCTTCAGGACGAGACATCCTCGCGAGTCCTCACAATCCTGTCTCCTCCGAAGCTCTCCAGGCTGGCATGGTCTCATGGTCCTATTGTTGCTCTAGCTCCTACAGGAGTCTTCACACAAATGATTGTTTTTCTGGAAATTGGCAGGTATTACAGGCGAGAGCTAGCAGGATGGGGTGGAGCTGGGCAAGCTACAGGTTGGCAGATACCTGACCCACAGTTGTGTTTCCCCTGGCCCGGCACTAACTTCAGTACCAGGCCACTCCATCTTTACCCTACACCTTCAAGAGATCCTGCCTGCCTGACAAACCCTGAGGCTTGGAAGGGTCAAGCTAGGAGCAAACAGGGTTCAGGACTGTGTGGAAAATGTTCCCACCAGGCGTGAGAAAGAGAATATCCAGCTCCACAGCCAAGGTTGGCACTGGATCCAAACCTGGCTGTGTTTTACCTGCCCAGGTAGCAGAAGTCAATCCCTTGTGGTGATGGAGACAGAGCAGCAGAGGCTATCACTTTACCAGTATGTGCTGGGCAAGTGACTGAACCTTGGTTCTCTTTACTGTTTGCCGGGTTGAGCACATGTACCTCCCAGACCATGAGCCATATACCCGACTGCTTCCTGTCCTGCTTCTGCGACCTGGGAGAACTACAAGAGGGGAGACAATCTGACTCTGCTGAAGAACATCCCAAACTCCTATAGGACAACAGAGGGATGTGAGGGGACACATGCAATGCCCAGGCAGGAGCTGATCTCCCTAACATGGCTGTGCTGTCCACAGTCAGTGCAAGAACGGGCAAAGGGCAGACAGAGTGCTTGCTGGAAAGAATGCAATGACGTTGAACTTCTGAAAAGATCAAGAGCTGAGGGGATAGCTCTGTGGGTAAGAGCACTGGCTGCTGAGGGGTGGCTTCGTGGTTAAGAGCACTGGCTGCTCTTATAGAGGACCTGACTTCAGTTTGCAGCACCCACATGGTGGCTCATAACTACTTGTAACCCCAGTTCAAGAGGATCTCACACCTTCTCTGGACTTTGCAGATTCTAGGCACGAAAGTGGTCCATATATGTGTAGGTAAACACTCATACACATAAATAAAAACAATAACATCTTAACGACAACAACAAACTATATCCAAATTTACTCTGGAAGTCTGGGTGTGGTAGCTCACATGGGTAATCCTAGTACCTGTGAGACAAAGGCAGAAGGATTGTCTCAAGTTTGCATTTAGGATGGGTTACATAACAAGTTTCAGACCAGACAGGCTACATAGAGATAATGTGTCTTAAAAGAAAAAAGAAAGAGAGAGAGAAAAAGAACAAACAAAAAAATGAACAACCAAGCAAACAAAATCTAAACCAACCAAACAGCAAAACAAAAACCCTACAAAAACCCTAAGACAAATGCACTCTGAAAGAGAGAAACGAGGTAGCTCTGCCTTCCAGATGGTGTTGTGTAACAGTTCCCTTCTGACTGAAATAGACCTTTCTGGTGGGAGGAGCTCAGCAGGCTTGCAGGATTTGGAAAGCCCAGAGTATTGTGCAGGAAGTTTAAGGCATGAAGCCTTCACAAGTCTGAGGTAGGTTTTCCCACAGTGCAACTGCAAGTCACCTGTGGACTGACTCTGGTCTGCTACTGATGCTTTTTATCTGGAGTGAACATGCACTTCTTTCTCTCCACGAAATGTCATGAAACAGATGGGTACACTCCATGGACTGGTGAGACTGTGCTTGGCTCGCACTGCTGTAGCCTAAGGACAGAAGTTGGGCAAATCTCTAAGACTGTAGCATGTCTCCTATGACTTAGCATCCTTGCTCCCAGGACCCGCTGTGCAGATATACCTGAGCCTGGATGATGGGATGCACACTGTTATCAATTATCCTGCCTTGTTTTCAGAATGGAAAGAAGAAAATACTGGTGAATGTCTCATTGACTTGAGGACTAACTGTGAATGAAAGGCTATGCCATGTGTCTGTAAGAAAGGATGGGAGCTCTTTATGTGCTGATGAGGGGCGGTCCACCAGCTGTGTGACACGGCAGAGAGAAATGTGGCAGATGCAGGGTTGGGGAAGGCGGTATAGGGATATTCCTTGACTCTAAGCTTTCTTTCTGACCCTAGGAGATCATCCATACATGCCTGTGAGGTAACAGTCTGAGCATTTGGTACACTTGTGTCCAGGTGATGACCTTAAGACTCAAGAGGACAGGTTGGGCTGGAGAGATGGCTCAGTGGTTAAGAGCACTGACTGCACTTCCAGAGGTCCTGAGTTCAAATCCCAGCAACCACATGGTGGCTCACAACCATCTGTAATGAGATCTGATGCCCTCTTCTGGTGTGTCTGAAGACAGCTATAGTGTATTCATATATAATAAATAAATAAATCTTAAAAAAAAAAAAGACTCAAGAGGACAAGAGACTTCAGGGTCCTGAGATCCTAGGGTGGCCTCTATGTTTTGAAGCTCCAGGCCTGAGGTTTCTCAGACTCAGGGCAGTGTGGCTTTCTTGTTCATTCTCAGTCAGTGGCCATTCACTTTGCCTGTAAGTATTGCAGGATTCTTCTGGGTTGAGCGTAGGCCCTGCAGGCTCAATTCTGTGTTTGCTTGTTAGGGCACGAGGCCCTGTTCTTGCTTGAAACTCTGGACTCTGTCACTGTGGTCCACAGAACTCCCTGGAGGGCTCATATGGGATCCCTGCTCACTCTAATCAGACAAAGGAACCCTCCTTATAAAGGAGCACTGGGAGTATTCTGTACTTTCTAGTTTACAACATTAATACTGAGCTGGGACCTCCCAGCATTCCATTTCACTATGGGGTCCCCAACGGGGGTCCAGCACAATAGGGGCCTGAGAATGTCTTAAGTTTGTATAAAGGGAGCCCCTTACCTGTCGCTCTGGTTTGTGTGGCTCCATCAGCTTCACTACCTGTCCTTGCTGTACCAGGATGACCTGGGAGTCTCCAAGCCAGGCAACATGCAGGGCTGCTCCTGTGATGAGCACACACACACCTGTGGTACCACTCTGCAGTCGCTGCAGGGAGAGGAGAGCCGTGTAGGGCTGAGAAGGACTGAAGAGGAGGTCAAGCCCATACAAAGGCTCCCACAGCTGTGCTTACGGATCAAGTAATGATCATACTGTAATGAGAGAGCATGTCCTACAGGACCGCCTTCATACCTAACTTTGGAACTGGCAAGAAGGTCTGTGGTGGCAGGAAGCAGACTAATGACACTGGGAACTAGGTATGGAAGGTCAGGAGTGAGCCAGGGCTTCACGAGTGTCCCAACCGAACACTGTAAACATATACATTGAATGTTCCAATTGTATCTTTAAAAACATGCGTTAAAAAAACCAAAAGGGGCTGAAGGTATACTTCAGTGGAAGAACACTTGTGTTAGCCATGTGGGGCCCTTAGGTTTGATCTCCAGAGCAAGTGAGAGAGGGAAAGAAACTAAAAACCTGTGTATCCACTAATGTCTTTTGGGCTTTGCTCACTCTCAGCCAGTGGCCATCTACGCTTTGCCTTTAAGTGCGGCAGGATTCTGCACTGGCCCCACAGACTCTGCCCTCACTGCTGCTAGGAAGGCCCAGGGAGGTTGCTTTCAGTTCACAGAAGAGAGGCCCACTGTCTTTTTCATAAACAAGGGTCTCATGTAAACACATAATGTCAGTCCAAGAAGAGTTCCTAGTGGCTACTCATAGAGACCTGGCTGAGCAACAGACACTGGGACAGTCTGTCAATCACGCCTTATATTTTCTGTTTGTTTGGTTTTTGATACAATGACATCTGGGCCCTTGTGGATCCTGGTGAGACCACCACTCCCAGAGCAGACAAATTTTCAGCAACACAAACCCCTGCTTTCATAGGCATGTTAGACTGTCTGGAGCCCATGCCCCCAAAGCAGTGTCCTTCAACTACAGGGTCCAGGTCCTCCTGACACTGGCTGGCTGTGGCTATTCTTACAGCTCAGACTAGCAAGGGTTATTCAGAGTACCCAGTACTGTGTTCGCTGGGGCTTAGATTCTTGGGAGACCAAGCTTGCCTCTCTGCCCTATCTCTTGCTCACAGAGCTATAAGTTATCAGTTCTTTTAAGTACTTGCCTGCCACCCTACCACCTTCAGCTGAAGGAAACAGCCTGTATCGTAAGCCAGGGAGTCCTTCGCTAGGCTGGCAGACTGTGTCTATGTCACAGAGATCCAGCATGGTGGCCCTGGGGTGTTGTGGTTTGCAGGCCCCAAGGCTTCATGTGCTGTAACTTAATTCCTGAGATGAGATATTAAGAGGGTAAAAGCATCAGCTAAGAGGACTTTGCTGGAGTTAAGTACTAGGAGGTCACTGGGGCTGGATAAGGCCATGATTGCACAGGGTAGAGGGTAGATTTCCTCATAGTTAGGTCATGGTGGCTGTCGGAGAGGGAGGGAGACTAGAAAACACATATATACACCTATATGTGGACATGCATATTTGTACACACACACACACACACACACACACACACACACACACACACACACACTTTTCCTATTTTTTGCTCGGAGCCACCATGGCATACTACTAGCAAGGCTATTATCAAGAAAGTCACTTGCCTTGTATGTCCAGAACTGAGTCAAAACAAGCCCCTATCTTTATAAAGTGATCCAGCTTCAATGATCTTGTTATAAACAAGACTAATACAACAGACAAGCTTTGCACTGCTTCCATTTTAATGAAAACTGAGCCTCAGGCCTGAAGGAATGGAATAATGGAATAGCATGACTGCCGGCAGCTCTAGTGAAACCGTTCTTTGCTTTCTGAACGCCATGTCTGCCAGCAGCTCTCTCGGAAACCCTTCTTTTCTGAAGTACCACGACTGGCAGCAGTTCTCGAGAGACCCTTCCTTCCTGAGGTACCAACTCCTTATTTTTCTTCCTCTGTGGAGAACAGACTTCTCTAATGTTAACAGCTACAGATCCCCAAATAGCACGTTCGACCCAACTGCCAGTTCTTACCTCTCGCTTGGCTTTTCGGAGAAACATCTCATCAGTGCGCCGGAAGGCTTTTTTGAGAGCTGCTGCAGGGTCTGTGAGCAGCTCTAGCTGGTGAGAAGCATTGGTGTGCACGTGGACAGAGGCATACCTTGCTGCGTCCACGCCTCCATGACCATCAAACACAGCAAAGTAGGCTCGGTGCACAGAGTCCTGGTGGGAGCACAGTGGGAATCAGACCCCCAGGCAGCTGCTCTCATCTGGCGAGGATGCTCTCCAGGCAGTAACTAGGGTAACCCTATGGTTACAAAGTCTGTCCACATAATTCATGTAGTTGATGCCTAACCCTCACAGGATGTGAGGGAGATCTTTGGAAGGTAACTGGCATCAATTCATTTGGGGATGAATGGAGACATAATTTTTCTCCTTGGGAAACTTGGTCTTGCTATGTGATGGCCTGGAGTACTTTGGTGTTCTGTAGAGTTCCTCACCAGCATGAAGGCTCCCTTCAGATGCAGCCCTTTTACCTAAGGTCTCTCAGTCTCCAGAGCAGTAAAAAATGTATTTCTAATAAATGATCCAGTCTCAGGTACCCTATTAAACAGCAAAACAGACCCAAGACAGGTAGGGTCTGGAAGAACTGACACAGCCCTTACCACAAGACAAGTCAAACTGGCTAAAATACTACACACAGGGCCACTTGGGAAAGGACAGCCCTTGGAGCCCAGTTCCACCTGGATACTGCAGACATAACCCAAGGTAAGATGCATCAGGTGTCTGCTGTTGGAGGCTCAGCAATTCAAGTCTGAACCTAGCACCTAGAGTCTTTATATAAAAACAGGCCAATTGTTGTCTTTGTTTAGTCTTTGGATGTGGAAGCTTGGCCCAAAGGTGCTGGTGTTCTGAATTAGCTTCAGGCTCCCTGGGGTGGTACTCTGAAGACTGCCTAGTACTCTGCCCCAAGACAGCAGTTTCTCAGTATTTCCCCACGCTTAGCTTTGGCTGGCAGCTCTCTCAGCATTCATGGCACCCCACCTTTTACACCCCACTCTCCCCCAACCCCTACACTGCTTATTCTGGGTTCTGCAGGTGCAATACTCACAGACAAGCCGAAGAGGTGGTTGAAAGCAGGAAGGGACACATGTCGATCCTCCATCTTGCGTCGTGTGTTCCGGATGGCATGGATAGAGACCAGCCACTGCCGCTGAGGGGCCTGGGCAGTCAATGGCACCTGCTTCTGCCACCGGCTACATACTTCCCAAAGCCAGTTAAAGAAGCTCCGTGCCAGGCCTTTGGCATCTAGAACTGATGGGCATGATGGAGAATTTGTTAACCAAAAAGTAAAGCCATGCAGTGGAAGCTTAGCTACTCTCCTATACTCCTTTCCTGCCATGTCCCCAGGTTTTAAAAGCCCCTCCCAACAGTCTACACAGGGCCCACTAGTCAACCTCACTTCCCAGGGCATGTCCATGCTCAGCACACCAGCCTATGAAGTATGCAAGAAAGTCTGTTGCCAGTGATGAAAGTGTCTCGTTAACTATCCATTAATTAGAAATATTACAGATCTAATGGTAGAGGAATAAGTGAAGTCTGGCCTGTTCTCACTTAAGCTGCTACTAAAAATAACGTTCACAACTAAACACGCAACTGTCTGCTAAGCCAGGAACTGTACTCTTGGGCATGAATCCTAGAAAAATGAGGGCTGTTCCCATAAGAACAGTGCATGAATCATACCAGCTACATCTATAATAGCCCAAATCTGTGACCTGTCCAGATTCCAACCTCTAAATGGCTCAGCAGCTAGACCTGGGTGACAGTCCAGCAGCAGAACTGAGTGAAGTGGCCAGGTCCATCTCCAGAGAATCACACCAAGTGGAAGACACTAACCCCAAGTGTTGGCCGTGCGATTCACTGATAGGCCTTTTGAAATGCTGAAAACTAGTCACTGCTGGGAGTTACAGACTGGCTACAGCAGGAGAGGAAAGTTAGGGTGGCCTGTGGGAGGTAACGCAGAATCCTTGCAATAAGGAAGCTGGCTTGTGTCTGACCACATTCAGATCTTGTATGACATACCATTACAGTTTTGTATGATGTTCCTAGGAGAGAAACGGGGTCATGTATATGTAGTTGGGGCATCTCTATATTATATCTCATAACTCACTGCATGAATACTTATTATTTCAAAACAATGTACATTTAAAAGATGGAACAGACTACAACAACAATAACAACAGTCCCACCCCAACCTCCCTAAGCCCAGGCACAGGGTTCAAGCATCAAAGGACACAGCAGGGATAAGGAGAGCTGGGAGACATGTGCTTAGTCAGAAGTATGGCTAGGGAAGAAACAGGAGGACTAGAAGGAGGCCGAAGGGAGCCACAGGAGGAAAGCAGTGAGCAGAGAGAAGGGGAAGTCCAGCCAGACTCCTCCATCAAGGTTGGGGGCAGGATATCTCATTTGCTGCAGCCATCATGCTGGGGACTGTTAGCAGCAGCCCCCATGTTCCCAATGTGGGAGTGGAGAACTGACTTTGTTGGTCCCAACCTAGGGACCACAGCTCTAAATGTGATCCAGTACAACCCCTGATGACCTGACATGCCCTGTGTCTAAGCCACTCACCAACCACATTTCTTCCCAGGTCTTTCACTCTCTCCTCTGTACACAGTTAGACTCTATGACTGCCTGGAGAGCTGTTGTGGTCTCCTTCTTGCTCCTGGAGACTGCTGGTATTTAGGAAATGTTGAACATGGCTGGGCTCTAGGCCTAGGCTGTCTCCTTTTTAGCCTTCGGTTACACTGCTATTTCCAGAATAGGTTTAGATTTGAATTTTGCTCAAGCAAAGAATGGCAATTAAAAATGAAGATGGCGCCAGGCAGTGGTGGCACACACCTTTAATCCCAGCACTTGGGAGGCAGAGGCAGGCGGATTTCTGAGTTCGAGGCCAGCCTGGTCTACAGAGTGAGTTCCAGGACAGCCAGGGCTATACAGAGAAACCCTGTCTCGAAAAACCAAAAAGAAGAAGAAGGAGGAAGAAGAGGAGGAGGAGGAGGAGGCAGCGTTGGTGGCAAGCCCTACGGTAATGCTCAGCCTCAGGCTCTTGGAGTCCTACCCTGATTTTCTGGCCAAGGGCTATAGTCCTGAGCTTTAAGACCTGCCTGGGAGGTCTGCCTTCACAGCAATCACAGGGAAGCTGCTGCAGGTGAGCATGCAGGTGCTTCAGTCACATTTCTGCCTGTGGCAATAAGCCTCAAAGAGGAGAACATCCAGCAAACTACAGACTTGCTCAAGGCCACATGCCCAGGCCTTCATGGTACCTCTGGGACAGGCAGGGAAGGCTGGGAATGCACATTCCTTTTCTAAAATCTTGGGTGTAAGGCCTGGCTTGTCAGCTGCAATTCTCTTTCCCACCAGCAGGTGATACTGTCTCCTGTCTGGAGGGGTACAGCGGGGCCCTGGTGGCAACTGCCACCAGATTGGACGCCTGCTGGCTTTATAGAGAACAATGGCTGCCTGTCATTATGAATAGTTGTCTCCTAGGCTGGGGCAAGGCCATGCTGGCATGAAGGCTGGCAGGAAGCTGTGGAAGGGGCCAGAAATGGGGGTGAGGAGGGTGGCTGGTAGGTGCAAGTGCTAAAGGCTGCAGTAGTTTCCTTTTTTCTCCTGCCGTGTTCTTTGTCCTTCTACACATGCCCTAATGCTGAGCAAAGGGAGGGCTGGAAAACGGCCCACATCCTGTGTGTACATTCCTACAGCTGCTACTTCCTTCCCGGTACTTTGGTACCTTGGCAGAAGAGTAGGAAAGAGTCATGCAGAGTCAGAGCCATATTTTATAAACAGACTCTATCAAATGGTCTTGGAGCCTCCTGGCGTTCCTCCCTGGGCTCCTCTGGCTGTGGTGGATCACTGTAGGGCTTTCTCCCCTGTAGCGGCTGCTCCAGCAGCAGCACCTCCCTGGGCTCCTCTGGCTGTGGTGGGTCACTGTAGGGCTTTCTCCCCTGTAGCGGCTGCTCCAGCAGCAGCAGACATAGTCTCCATCTTTGCTACCTCATGATTATGGGATCACTGACATCTAATGATCCCAACCAAGGTAAATAAAGGCAGGGGACCTAGACAACAGTTGCCTCTCTCCATGGGTGGACATACCACTTTGCTAGGGGCCTCATGTTAGCTGAGGGGGCAGCAAGTACAGATGAAATTGGCTGTGTGGCTGTGAACCAATACCTTGCATTCCTCATGTGTAAAACAGGACAAGCACCATTCATTTCTAAGTGCTCTGAAGCGCCATTAAGAGAACACAAAGGCGGGCTGTCTCACTGGCTGGTTCTGACCTAGGCGCTGGTCAGTCCACTGCAGGTTTTCTGTGCCACATCATGCTTTTGCTGTACTCTGACACTGCTGACTTGACGGCACCTTGGCACTGACCTTTAGTGTCAATCTGGGTTTGTCACTTGCTAAACAATTCCATAGTCATACAAGTGGAACTTACAGATCACAAGGGCTTTCTCTTCCTCCTCCTCATCTTCCTCCTCTTGTTCAGGCAACCTCTTAAATTCCGAAAGGTCTGTCTGTAGCAGCTGGGAAATTGCCTCGTGGGTCACAGCCGCGGCAAATGTTGGGGGAGCGTTCCTAGGGAGAAGACATGAGAGGTCGGGCTGCAGCAGCCCCTGGCATCCTCCACCTTGGAGATGGAGGTGATGGCTCATACCTTCCTCTTGGTGTCATTATAAGCTGGTGATCTCTGTCTCCAGGGACCTGAAATGGATATTTACACAACACCAGTGGAATGCCATTTGCTGGGATGTGTTGGGAAGGTATCCTTAAGGCATGTGAACTCAGTGGCCAGGAACCCATTCTGATGCTGGGACCAGTGCATGTTAAGGGCTGAACTGGATCCCCCAATTTATATGCTGAGGTTACTGTCTCGGATGAGACTTCTTGTAAGTTGGTTCATTGTGGATAGCACTAGTAAAGATGAGATTATGGTTGAGTAGGATGGACCTCTGCTTCAGAATGGCTGGCTTATGATATATATGAGGGCAGCCATGTAGCTGCAGGACAGGGACGGTGGGGAGAACCTACACACCAAGGAATGCACATGATTATCTGCAGACCACCAGGAGTGCTTAGCCTGAGGGCGCTTTCACCTTTATTTGGCTTCTATGAGACAAAGATGATTATTTTTAAGATGTCTGGTCTGTGTGCTTTGGGATGATAGCCCCAGGAAACTGCTTCTGGTGGGTGGGTCCCAGTGACATCTTCTGACAGAAGACTCATGCTGACAGAAGATCCATAGTCTCTGAGCTGCTGGGTTTGTGGAGAAGGGGCTTAGGGGTAGCCAGGCTGTGGGCATGAGGAACTCTAGTCTGTTTTGAAGAGAGCTATGACAGTGTCCGATTGAGTTCTGAGATCTCCTTGAGCCTGTGGCAGACAGGCTGAATGGTGAACACTGGTGATCAATCTAGAGAGGCCAGGCCAGGCCTAAGGGCTTGGCAGGGAGCCTTGGTGTTAAAAAGGGACAGAGCGGAACAGTGTTGGGGGCTGATCAAGAGTAAGAGTGGGTCAAAGGGAAGGACAGACACTCAAACTGGATCTGAGCCACTGGGCTGAGGGGAGCAGTAGCTCCACACTGAGCCCATCTGGGACAGGAGTTCAGGAGGCCTAGGGAGCTGTGAACATGGTCAGGCAGGAGAGAGCCAGAGGTGGAATGAACGCTGGGAGGCCCAGCTCAGGAACAGTAGGCCAATTAGGGAATAGCAAGTAAGGTTTCCACAGAGGGAAGGTACACTGTTCTGGAGTCACAGAAGAGAATGAAGAGCACAGAAGGGTGGAAAGAACTTTACCTCATGCTGACAGCAGTTGAGAGAGAAGAAAGTCCGTCTCCTGTTGGGCCTTGGACAGGCAGCATTGCACAGTGAATCAACTCCTGACTGATTCATATGGGATTATAGTTGTGAACCAGTCTGCCTGGCTTTTATGTATCTCTCCCTCTATTTCTGTGTATGTGTGTAAACATGTGTGTACGTGTATAAATATGCACGTGCGTATGTATGTATATGTGTGTGTGTGCATGGACACATGTGAGAGCAGAGGCCAGAGGAAGATACTAGACGTCCTGCTCTATGGCTCTCTGTTGGATTCTCTTGAGACAGGGTCACTCACTGAACCTAAAAGGTTGCCATTTGGGTTAAGCTGGCTGGCCCCTGAGTTCCTGGGATTTGCCTGTCTCTATCCCCTAATATCAGGGTTATAGGCACATGCAAACATGTTCAGCTTTTACAGGGTTACTGAATTTAGGTTTTCATGCTTGTACAACAAATTCTCTTACCCATTGAACCATCCATCTCTCTAGCCCCCTCACCTTTTCTTTCTTTCTTTCTCTTTCTTTCTTTCTTTCTTTCTTTCTTTCTTTCTTTCTTTCTTTCTTTCTTTCTTCCTTCCTTCCTTCCTTCCTTCCTTCCTTCCTTCCTTTCTTTCTTTCTTTCTTTCTTTCTTTCTTTCTTTCTTTCTTTCTTTCTCTCTTTCTTT